TAGTAGTAGTAGTATATTTTTATTTAATGCCATGTCAGCATCTTAGGCTATTTTCATGGCAAAAACAATAAAAAAAATACAAGTATAACAAATACAATAAAAACCAGCAAACAAACAAACACAAAGTTATATTAAACAAGATTTTTTACATTAACGTATGATAAAAATTCTAAAACTTTTTCTGGCAAAATTATACTAAACTCGCTTCATAAAAGAGTTTTCTGCATACATTAAAAGTTGGACAGTCCAATAAAATATGTTTGACAGAAAGGGGAATCTTGCGAAACATGCATTGAGTAGGGCCTTCAACCTTTAAGTCAGTCTTGTGTGACCTATGCTGAACAATATTTTACATTTCTGAAATCTATTTTAATGTGCATGTTCTTGTCCTGTAGGCATCTGTCAGGCCATGGAATTCTTCTTAGGCTTGTTGATCGTCATCTGTGCTGGAGTGAACCACAGTAACTCGGGTCGGTATCGGGATATCGCCAGCTTAGGCGGTTTGTACCAGTACTATTACGGAGGAGCCAACGCATTCACCGGAGCAGAGGCGCAGAAGGTCCAGCAGCTCGACGACCAGTTCTACCGGCTCAAACTGCCCCCTTACGTCTACAGCATGGCGTGTGGCGGGGCGCTGATGCTTTACGCTTGTGCCACGCTGGCCCTCGGAGTGTTTCGCTTGCCCTACCGTTTCCCTCCTCTGCTGCTGGCTGAAGCCCTGCTGGATGTAATCATAGGTCTCGGTTTTATTCCTACCATCGCTTTCTATTTCATAAAGCTGCAGGAGATCTACAACAACCCCATCTGTAAAGAGAGGGAAGCCATGTACAGCAGCAAAGGTCACAGAGGATTCGAGTGCCATCTCAACGGGGCAGACATAGCTGGAGGCTTGTTTGGTGTTCTGGGGATTATCATATTCCCCCTAAGCGCCGTGTTGGCCATCAGAGCTTTCATAAGAGTGCAAAAGATGAAGCAGAGGCCGACAGAAGACAACAACCTGTGAGGGTTACGCCATTTCATGAAGAGATTCAAATGTGGAAAGCACGGAAGGTCCTACACAAGTGTAAATGCTTTGGTTAGTATTTTTACAGTATCAGAAGGATATATATTTTTATATTTTTTTATGCCTTTGCTTTCTCTTAAGAGTTTTTATGGACTTTTTTTTTTTTTAAACTTTTTTTCATATATTCTTCACAAACATGCATCCGATTTGATTCATCAATTAAAAAGAAACACACAATATATTGAGAATGAGTTGATTTTGCACCAAGAGCTTGTAACACTCCAAAGAGAAAGGAAAAATTGAAATTGCATCATATGACCCCTTTAAAAAGTAAAGGAGAACGGTTGGAAGTTGTACTTTTAAACTTTTAAGTACTGCTAATACAACTCATTGTGTGCTCCCTTACATTCAGAGAACATAGTGACATATTGTGATCCCTTCAACTGATTTTCTAAATTTTCTGTTTTTTCTTAAATTTACCATCATAAAACCTGCAGGAACCTATGTTATTTACTACATATTCATCATTTAAGTATTAATTATTGCCAATGAGACTAGCTCACAGTTTGTAATATAACATATTAAGCTAAATCATTTTCTTCTTTTTACGTGCATCTATTATATATAGACTATATTAGGTACTAAAGTATTTTGAGACATGCGCATCAGTTATGCACAAATACATCCCATATAGAACGTCTGAGACATCAAAGACACGTGTATCACAGTAAAAAAAATTTATTGCTACTTGGCTGAAAAGTTAATTAAAAATACAGCTTTCTGCTCAAAACTAAGCATAGCAGCATTTGAAATGAAACAATGAGCCAGCACCCACTCTAAAAAGTGCAGTCCTAGCTGACAGACAGCAAAAGTGCTCGCATTTAGTCCTTTTACTAAATCAGTAAAACAACTAAAATGATCTCCTAAACTAAAAACAATTCAATAATTTAACACAATGAAAATATTCAGCAGTTTACTGCATGCTAAATTAGAAACCTAAAAATATAATATACATTATGCTTCCGATATTAAAACAATTTCTTATAAACAGAAAAGTTAGTATTTTATACAAATAATCACATTATAATATATTCTATATATATATATATTTATATTCATTTATATAGGGCATGCTTCTCACATTAAATACGTGAATAATTAGTATCTTCAAAGAGTGTACCTTGATGGGTGACAGTTTACCATAGAACCCTTAAATCCTAGATTCTGCACTGGAGGACCTATAAATCTGCATGAAACTATGAAGTACAAAAATAAACCTCAGCTTCTTGGCATTGAGAGGAAATATTAAAGCATCTCTTAAAAACAAAATGTACATAAATGATGACAAGATCAAGCTTTGGTCACGTGTCAGCAACAGGAACTTCGTCTCGATCCACGTCTGTCCGGAACGAACCGTGATCATGTGCAAAAATGTCAATGAAATACGCCAAAAAGATGCGTTTTTGCATTCAAAAGCAAGTTTCAACTCTGCCAGGGTAAAACCACAATCACACGCTTCATGCGCTAACAGCCTCTCTCACACTGCGCAGAGTTACAAAGACTTAAGACAAATGTTTCCTTGTTAAAAAAAAATATATAACATGGGTGGTGGAGTCAGAACGTGGAAAAGCATAAACATAATGAGTCTTTAAAGGTGATGTGTGTCATTTCTGCGCACTAGCACTACTAAATGGAAGTGCAAAAATGATCAGTTTTCAGTCAAGTTTCTTGAACACTTCCCTCATCTATCATTGGTCAGACAAACAGTTAGCCCCGCCCCTAAGCTTGCACCATTGGTTGAGACTGGTTGCCTTGTTAAGCGCACACAGATGTTTTGATAAATCTAGAATGTTTGCACTTTTTACAGGAATGAACCTATGAATAGCTTGCTTAAGCTGGGAGAGGAGGAAGTGTTTTAACTTGCTTTAAAAAAAATCACACAAATCACCTTTAACTTCTCAAGTTAACCTTTAAATTCTTTCCTTTTGTTCTGCGTAAGTGTTCACACAAGAGTTGCAAAGCCAGTTATAAAATCAGAGAAAGTTACCGAGCATTCAATAATGTGCAGAAGATGTAAAGGAAGCTTTGTCTAACTTTTATCTGTTTTTAACTAGTGTTCAGTTTGAAACTAAACTTGATCGAGAACATTTTCTAGTGCAATGCCCAAACTAAGACACTGTGCTAACACACTGGCAAACAAACCAGCCTAATAACATAAAAAAATACTTCATGCTCCACGAAGACCCCCCTGAAAATGTCCTATAATTATAAACTATCATTTAAAAAATCTACTATTTAATCTGAGTGGGGATATTTGTAGAACTGTGCTTTGTGTTCTTCCTGTAAGCATATAATTAAAGGGATAGTTCACCCAAAAAATAAATTTTTGTTATTTACTCGCATGTGATTCCAAACCTCTATGACTCACTTTCTTTTGTGGAACATAGAAGATATTTTGAGAAAATACTTTTTACTTTTTTTCTTCGTCCATACAATTGAAGTCAATGGTAACTAAAACAGTGACATAATGAGAAAGTTGATTTTTGGTTCAACTGTTCCTTTAAGAATCACCATTAACGAATGAATGTAAACTTGATGGCTATTTGCATATAACATCAAGGAATACTGTATTTAGCCAACATTTTCAGGAACTTGAGTTTCACCTCAACATGTTTTGGCCAGGAGAGCACAGAGCACAAATGTTTAAGGGATCTAAAATACAAGATTTGTCCACGTGGCAAAGCAACTAGTATAGTTGCCTAGGATGGAGAAACAATAAACATTATCTCCACAACAGAGCACTGCACGTGACACCCACAGACATGCACAAATTTATGGATTTTCCCCAGTCCTATTCTTCAATTTTCAGATTAATATTGATCAATCTAATTAGACGCGTATAATTGTTGCATATATCATTTTTAAATATGACGCAGATAGGCATCATGCTGTAGGTATATAGAAGGTCTAAGGTGCTCTTGAAGTGGTAATAAAGTGGCTGTATCAGTGACGTTTTCTACAATTTCTGTTTCCTTTCAATGTTAAAGCACTGCGAGGGATGAAAGGCTCCTATAGCTAATAACAGACTTGGACTACATCTTGCAAACAAAGCAAGCCGTCAAATGCTTGTACTCTGCCTCTTAGCACAGTATGAATCAGCATGTTGTGCCTCAGTAACCACATCTCTCCATTCAACCAAACTTAAGAAATGACATTTTCAGGGGTAATAAAAGAAAAAATACATAAGAGGCCACAAATCAAAGCCTAATGATGATTTTATATGCATTTCGACAAAATGCAATTCTTAAATAGGTCTATGTATATAGATTCTCTGAGCTATGTACAAAGTGCTTATACAGTGTAAAACCATTTTACTTTATAGGATTGTACAATAATACTTGATGCACTTAAGCATACAGCTCTAAATGGTTAGAGATCAATTTCTAGAAAATTGTACTTCACATTTTTGAGTGCAAAAAAGGGAATTGGATTATAAACACTAAAGAAAAGATTGAGGAAAACCTGCTTTAAGGCCATGACAGAAAAAACCCTGATGAGTCATGCAGGGCTGCTGCGTCCATGCCACTGGCTTCAGCTCTCAGAAGCACCCAAGGGACGACCGAAATACTCAAAATAACCTACCTTCCCTTCAAGTACCACTACTACGCATCTTTTGGCACAAGAGCTACAGTTTCAGGTCTGTAGGCAATTATAATTAACCCCACGAACATCTCTCTAGTGCTTGAAGACAAGTTAATGGCAGTAAAAGTTAAAATTCAAAACCTTCCTGGATGTTAAATAAGGGGATTCAGATTAGTTACATGGCGGCTTTTTCCTCATACATATAGCGAACACAAATCTGTATGCAAGTTTGGCACAAAGATCATTGCCATCTGACCATGGAGAACATTAATAAAAAAAACTAAAAGAAAAACACTCAAAATGTCCACTTATAAAGCATAGAATTCATAAAATGAATCTTGAGATGAAATGGCTTAAACATAATATTCGAGCATACAAACACACTTAAGCTCAATTTCAAGTTGATGATTTACAAATTCTGAGACTTCTATGAGATTCAATTTCTATTTTGAAGTGCATTCGTGTCAATGGGAACTTGCGTCCTTTGTAAAGACTATGAATGAATTGAATCTAATGAATTATGGGAGTACACCTAATAAATTATAAACATAATTTAATACAACTGATGCCCTACAATTGGCAAAAGAAAAAAAAGGGCTTCAGATAACATCAGTAAATGTAATAACAATTAATAATGGGCTTTGCACTCGATTGTCCCTAATTTTAAATCCCCACTTAAATGTAATAATGAGTTGTGTAACAAAAAAAAACAAAAAAAACAAACAAACAAAAAAAAATTATATATATATATACATATACATACATATACATACATACATACATATATATATATATAATTTTTTTTTTCCTTAAAAAAACTGTGTTGTTTCCAATAAACACCACTAGATGTCTCCTCAAACCGTGAGCACAGTGTTTTACTGCACAGAATTCCCTGATACTGTGATCGTGGCAATGACAAACTCAAATGACCCAATATAGTCTCTTTCCTCAGGTCCCCTGATTCAAATAAAAAACAAACACTGACCAGCCTGTTTCCTTATACGTACCATGCATGGCTAAAATAGAGCACACACACCCACACACTCGATGCACAATACATTATATCATATGCCTGGTACCTCTCATATAAAAAACCTAAATGTCAGCTGTTCATTTTTTCCTTGATTATGAGATGATGAAAAAATATCCCAACCTCACTCAGATCAACAGTAAAACCGCACTACTACAAAGACCCAATGACATATTTACGGCCCAAGGCTCTATAGCATGGGCTCTGTCATGTAGTCATGCCAGACTCGAAACTTCAAGTACTCTAGACAACCCGAGACAACTCAAGTTATGATTTCAGACAAGGTTGTGAGGTCTTTCTGCTCCCCAAATGACCTTGGCCATAAAGGTGTGACGATGCTTCCACGGAGTATTGGATGTAGTTTTTGTCTCCATCTCACTCTGACCTCCATCACTAGACTGATTCCCTCTCCAGGGTTTGAATGTTATGTTGGGGTCGTTGTACTCTTCTATTGTGCAGAGAGCTCCAGAGACCCCCATGGCTTTGTCTGGGAGATCCCGTATGCATACAAGAGGGGATCAGGGAAGGTGGAGAATGCTCTGGTCTTTTTCAACAATACTTCTTACCACAACGACCACTCTTTTCCATGAAATGGAGCGGGATTATTCCAGCAGGTCAGATGGGGAAGAGATCCGTCTGAAATATTCCTCACAGACTTCAAAAGTGCAGATTACGGACTAGTCGCCACTATGGGAAGGTAGAACAACACTGCACTTACACCAGAACAGTAAAGGCTCTCTGAACCTCAACCATCTTCAAGAGGCACTTTTCTCATCTTTTGGTCTCAGTTTAGCTGATAGTACCTCTCCACCAGAAGGCAAATGTGATCATTGAAGCCTACTTAAGCCTGTGACCTTTGATATAAAGGGCGAATGTCGAAACGAACTCACGCATGGTGATGTATGAGGTACTCCAGCTCCATGCTGTGGTTTTTGGTCAGGAATAGCTCATGTTTTTCCACAATCTGAGACCTCAATCTTCAAGATTTCATCGGTCCTGACATTTTCACCCATTTCCATCCTTCTGTCCTTGACTTGGATGTGGCTACGCCACCGCAGATCAGCCCAAGAATGCACATGCAGGGACCCACACGTGATGACGCTAAATAAGAACTGGATTATCTCGAAGGCAGGAAGAGCGTGCTAGCCTCTTTGATGTGGCACTATGATGCAGAGATGCTCCAATGGTGTGGTCCTCTTGCACCAACTATAGAGCTGTGTCATAGACATCCTGTTGCAGGACGGTGGTGGGGTGGAGACCGGGGACGGTGGGCTGAGGATGGTCCCAGTTGGGGTCTCTCGCTGAGGGCAGCGTTGAAGGAGCCGGCGGCGGCCCGGGAACCACAGGGCTTTGACCTCTCAGTTGCTCCCGAACATCCTGCTCCAGACTAGGCGGTATAATTAACTGGTCTTCCGGGTCTTGCTGGGCTGGTGCGGCAAAATATCCAGATTTCTTTTTTGGGGCCTCGAGTGCTACTTCAATGATATTGTGGCTATCCTCGGGAGCCACTACGGAGCCATTAGATAGCTTCTTCCCGAAGAGGCTGGAGGTTGAAGGAGACTTCTTCAGATCTGAGATCTCTCGGCCACATACAGCCAGCAGGCAGCCGTTGGTGGCAGAAACCACCACGCTGTTTTGCCGCCGCATTTTGCTGTTGGGATAATCCGAGCCCCTCGAATCATGCCGGCCGTCCAGGTCCTTGGGACTTTCCGGTGGTCCAGAGCGCAGCTGAAAAGCGCAGCAGTGGATGTCCACTTCCACCTCTAGCTTGCTCCCGTTTGAGATGACACCTTCTAAAGGAGCCTCGTCATCGCTGTCGAGTCCATTGTCCGATTGGTTGCTTGAGAAGGTGGCGCTGGAAGGTTGCCGCTGGAATAGAGCCGGGTGCGCCCCTGGCCCCAGGCTCACCAGTGGCCCCATGTTACACAAGGTAGCAGTGGGATGCAAACTACAGCGGCGCTCCGGACGAGCCGTTGGTCCCGAAGAGGGGTGCTCGTCCGAAGCTGTGGACCCAGCCTCGCTGCCCACTTCCGAAGCTGACATCTCGCTGTTAAACTCCGAGGCAATGCCACTGCTAGAAGACGGTGTGGCTGGGTCACCAGGGGACACGGAGATCGGTAAAGGTGTTGGAGCAGGTGGTCCTCGGGCTTCTGTGTTCGAGAGAGGAGGCTCGCACGTACAGCTGTCTTCTCCGATATGCAAAGCTACCACTACTGCTCCAACATTATCCCGGCACCCATAGCTCTGTGCCAGCGTGCAGAGCTTTTTGGCAGCAGCGCGGGGGTCTCTGACAGCTAGCACAGTGCTCACTGCCTCCTGGTAGGAAACCTTCTGGAAGAGTGCTTTGTTTCCTAGGATCAGGAACTCATCCTGGGAACACAGAGGCTCTGTGTGCACACAGGGTTTGGGAAGCACCCAAGGAAACAGGTAGGAACAGCCAAGTAACCGTGAGCAGCATGTCACCCCACTCACCTTGTTATCCTACAGCACAAGAGTCAAATGATTAGAGACACAAATAAGCTGCTACTTCTCATTCATGGCCATATTGACAACAATAAACAGCATGATGCATCAGCCAGTTAGCTTACAGACCTTAGTCAGGGTAGAGCCATATTTAATTTTTGACAGGAATGAACACAAGGCTAAGAGGTAAGGGATAGTAGTAAGGTGCGTTCAATGGATTGCAATTATTATTCATACTGATTATTCAGCTGACAAAACGTCTTTCCCCAAAAGGAGAGAAAACGCCATAAAACAGTTTTGAAAGTTGTCAGAATGACATGATCTAGGAACATGTGCCATTATTACGACTGTAAGTCTATCCCTCACAGCCTGGTTTTCAGCTGCGTCCAATTCCATATGGCGTCTAACCTGACTAAGGTCTATGGGATGAACTGAGAACGAGTCAATACCTCAGTGATAATAGCTTTTGCCAGTTTGACACGCTCCATCTCCTCAGCGCTCTGTTCTAGGCTGAAAACCTTCGAGAGGGCAAGAGGTTGCCCATCACGACACAGTACAGCCTGGCAGGTGCCTACGTTGGCCACAGTGAGGCTAAAGTAGCGGCCAGGCTCGGAGGACTCGTGATGGATGTAACAGAGCAGAGCAGAGGCACCTAGCTTCTGGCCTGCCATGCCAAGTTTCCTGCAAAAATGCACGACAGCAATATGAGAAATGCATTTATTATTCATATAGCTAAGAATCTAAATCAAAAGCTCTGTCTGAAATATGGTGGGTTCAAGTCATATTGTTACAAGTTGAATGGCAAGTCATAATTACGAGTGGGTTTTCTTTGATTCCAGAGCCCAGAGTTAAGGGCATCAGTGACAAAATATGGCGGATGCAATAATGTTTTTGTTTTTTGCTCTCAAACTAGCTAAGTTGCATGTACGACCTATGATAGTACTGTACAACTATGATAGAATATATAATATCTTTAGGTTTACAGAACCTTCATGAATTGAAAAAAAACACACTTAATGTGCATTCTTCGTGCACGTGTGTGTGAGTGTGCAAAACACACCTATGAGAGGTAAGGAAAGTGTTGCACATGTATACACTGTCCACACTGGAGTGCTGTATCTCCTCTGCCAATACATCTCCCATGGTGCACTGCAGTAACCTGGAAACTTCCTCATTACGGTCGCCATCAAAAATCCCATAAGCAGCCTCCAGACTGCCCCCGAAGCGATCCACAGCCAGCACAGACACACACAACCTGAACCCAGGTAAAACAGCAGATTTCAATGGAACAAATGCTCTTCATGAAACCAACACCCAACCAAAATGTTACAATGTGTACAATATCACATTACAAATACATTTCATTGAATGGTAATGGATACACCTATATAGGTACATACACAAACTCTCTCTCTGACAAACACACAAAAGTGGCCCCCCTCGGTGGATGAAGGGTACAGAGAGAGGATGCGATATTTGAGACGGACTGCTTTGAAACTGTGGGGGTAATGGCCTTCGCAGGGGGAGCCAAGCACACTGAGGTCACATTAAACATGTAGAAACAAGACGTTTAAGCCTATGGGATGCATTCTGCATTTAAACCAGCCATCCAGCTGCGTCTTTCCCTTGATATCTGCGAAATCTACAGTGAAACCCAACGCTACAATTATTCTGAGAATGCCAACTGTTTTTATGCCATCCAAGTATTTATTGGTTAGAGAATTAGTTGTCTCAGGGCCAGATTGGCAAAACATCTGGGGCAGGATTCACAAAAATCTTCTTAAGAAGTTAAGAACTTTCTTAGGAAAATTCTTACACACTTCTTGGAATTTTTCTTAAGCGCAATCCTTGAAAAATACTCGGGAAGTTTTCTTAAGAACCTCTTATTCCTAAGAAGACAATATCGTTAGTGTTATATGATTAGCAACTATTGCAGAAGACTTTCTGATCAACTAAATGAAAAACTGTCTTTTTTTAGCTGACTGCTGATTACGTAGTAATATAAGCGCACACACGATTGAGACTGGCTTGATGGAACTTCAGCACTGAATTTCGAATTCAGAAGTCCTGTCATGCATAAACTAGACCGATCATTGTTTACATTATCAATCATTGGTGTCTCATTTCAGAAAAGTAACCTTTACATTCCAAAGAAAGTAAGAAATCATAGTAATTAGGCCATTATCAAATAGTCAATTTTATAATGGTTACTTTTCTGAAATGAGACAACCTATACGTTGTATATGGCCAACAAATGTGACCTAGCAAGTGTTATGTTGCAATGCTTAGTATTTAAAATAAGCCAATACATTCAATAAACATCTTACCTTTTGGGATTTAAGACAAGTTGGAGGTTATTCTAACTTTAAGAAGTTATATACAATGATTTTTAAGAAGATTCTTTTCAAGAATTTGAATTCTTAAGGTTTGTCTTAAGAACAAAGAAGTTACTTAAGAAGTATTTTTGGGAATAAAACAGATTCGGGATTACAAAATATTAATTTCTTAAGCAAGAAAACGGCAGTTAAGAAGAATTTAATTCTTGCAAATATTTCGTGAATCCGGCCCTGATTCACTCTGACCAAGAAAATGGTCTGTCTGAACGGCATGAAAATCAGCCAACCTAATTTGTTTTTGTTTGTTTGTTTTTTAGGGATGAGTTAATCAGAAATTGATTTGACTGCATTGAAAAAAATGTTTTGTGCCTTCAGACTCAACCATCCAATCAGATTAGAACTAGTAATTTCTGTTAGCATTTGACTTTTTTTTTTTTTTTTTTTTTAAACTTAAAATATAATAGAGAATTGGAGGTCCGGGATGGTATTCTGGTAAACAGCTTATTTTTTTTTTTTAGATTGAGGCTTCCTTTAACCAAACCAACCAACACTGACAAACACACTCATCGTTTCCAAATCTGTGACTCTCGTGTCTCCAGATTTTGCTCACTTGTTCCTTTGCCCACACATCTCAGCGTAACCATGATCCCACAGGGTGGACGTGCCCTGTGCGTCTCCTGCGGTCACGGCTGGCTTCTGGTCCAGCTTCAAAGTACTGATGTGACTGGAAGAGAGGAGGACACAGAGATAAAGACAAAAAACACAAAAAGCAATTAACCACCCGGGTCTATGAGGGTATCAGAACATATTAATATTCATCAGCTGCATAGTGTGCTATGTGTCCCACACGGAGGACTGCTGTTTGTAGCGTCTCACCTGAAGAGGTTGAGCGTTTTGTGCTCTAACATGAGGCTGCTGTTGCCGGTCAGATCCAGCTCTTGTAGGGTTGAAGGCAGAGAGTCCGGCAACAGGATTTCTGTCTGCTCATTACAGCTCACATCTACTAGCTACACAAAGAGCAGACAAAATACAACATTCTTCATGTGAAACACTGAATGGAGTGTAACAAATAACAGCGCAATTTTGTTGGATCTGGGGACAAAAACGATTAAAATAATGTCAAAACAAAACAAAAAACAAACAGTAAGTAAAGTAAAAAAAAAAAAAGTTAAAAATTATGTTAAAGAATGTAAAATACACTGTGAAATAAAGCGTAAAATAAAATGAAGTGTTTAACAAACAACAGCCAATTTTGTTGGATCTGGAGACAAAAACGATAAAAATAATGTAAAAAAAAAAAATCAAACATTAAGTAAAAAAAAATGTATAAAAAAAAGTTTTAAAAAATGATGTTAAAGAATGTAAAATACACTGAAATAAAGCGTAAAATAAAATGAAGTGTTTATCAAACAACAGCCAATTTTGTTGGATTTGGGGACAAAATGATTCAGATTTGTCAGACTTAACTAAACACTAAATAAGCTTGTAAAATAATGTAAAATAAATTTAATAAAGCAAAACAAAAATAAAGAAGCATTATAAAATAATGTAAAATAACAGTGAAATAAATGTAAAATAAAATGAAATGTGTAACAAACAACAGCCCAAATTTTTGGGATTTGGGGACAAAAATGATTCAGTTTAGTCAGACTTAACTAAATAAGCTTTTTTTTAAATAAATGAAAAAATGAAGTTTTCACAATTATATTAAAAATATAAATATTATAATACAGACACAATAATAAATCAAAGTAAAAAAAATCAATGTGTTTAAACAAATATAAATGCTGGATCTAAATCTAATTTAAATATGCAATTTAGAGAAATGTAGGTTTGCAATTTCCGTGAAGAGTCACTAATTTGCACGTTCTCACAATTTCTATTTAGATTTAGCATTCAAATTTAAACACTACCGGTGGAAAGTTTGGAATAATTGAGATTTCATGTTTTTTTAAAAGAAGTCTCTCATGTTCACCGTGGCTGCACTTATTTGATTAAAAAATACAGTAAAAACAGTAATATTGTGAAATATTATTACAATTTAAAAGAACTGTTTTCTATTTTAATATTTTAAATTGCAATTTATTCCTATGATGGCAAGGCTGAATTTTCAGCAGCCTACAGTCTTTCAGAAAGCATTCTAATATGTTGATTAGAATGAGAATTTAAACATTCATTAAAATATAAACCATGTCAATGAACGTTGATGATAGCTACCAAACCTTTTCTTTTGTAACTTTAATTACTGCAGCTGCTATGCAGACATTAAACTATTACATTTTTAGATATTCATTTGTTACTGCCACCTGATGACTCTGTGGTTGACCCTTAAGATCCTCACAATATTTAGGGGCTTTGATATGTCCTGTCCTGAAGTCACAGACCTTGATCTCGGGGAGGCTGAGGACCTCTGGGAACACGCTGATATGGTTGGAGTGGGCGATGAGCGTGTGCAGTCTCTTGCAGCTGGACACGGTGGAGGGGGTCGCAGCTTGTTCGTTCCCACTCAGATTCAGTTCCTCCAGGACCTCCAGTTTACCGAGTTTACTGAAAACATAACAAAGGAATCCATGGTCATTTACACCGATATCAGAACACTGATCTTTCTTGAAATATCACACAGGGCTATCTGAGGGTCCACATTTTTAGTATCTAATTTGATTAATAGGCTCCTCCCATCGAGGTCCCGTACCTAGCAGGGAAGGACTGCAGTTGGTTATAAGCCATATGCAAGACCCGCAGGTTCTGATGCCCCACCAGTAGAGCAGCGCAGTTCTCATTCAGGTTGTTTCCTGTGAGATAGAGCTCCTGCAGGGTGCTGAGGCTCTCCTCTGATTGGCTGCTCGGCGGGATCGTCTCCAGCGCATTGGCAGACACATTCAAATACTTTAAACTAGTAGACGAGAAGAACAAGGGAAGACAGGTTGGTAAGTTTACAAACAGTACAAGTAATGTTGTTTAAATGGAAAAAAAAGCAGGTTTATGAAGCAAAAATCATCGCGGATACAACCAAAGTCTCAGAGCTGCAGCACATCTTTCAGCATTAGAGATGCTTAATGGATGACAAGTAAATTAAGCCACAGGAAATGGAAGAGCTGCGGGCTCATATTACTGTGCCTCACTGAGCCGTTTTCTCCTGTACACATCCATGAGAGGCTCTGGAGAAGCATGTCACTTCCTCTGTGCTGCTGTAGATCCAGTGTTGTGGAGTAACTAACGAACTACAAGGAGCAACTAACTAAACTACATTTCCCAGTAGCCTGACAGTTGTTCAGCTGTGATTATATATAAATTATATCATTAATATATCATTAAGATACTATTATAGTTTATATATATATATATATTATAGTAATGTTATTAGTTTATTTGGTAATACTTCACAATAAGGTTTCATTAGTTAACATTAGCATTAATTAATTAATTAATTTCAGCATTTACTAATGCATTATTAAAATCAAATGTTGCATTTGTTGATATTATTTAATGGACCTGAGCTGACATGTATTAACAATAAACAATTGTATTTTTATTATCATTAACAAAGATTAATAAATACTGTAACGAAAGTACTGTTCATTGTTAGTTAAAGGGTTAGTTCACCCAAAAATGAAAATTAGCCCATAAATTACTCACCCTCAAGTCACCCTAGGTGTATATGACTTTCTTCTTTCAGATGAATCCAGTCGGAGTTAGGGCTGCACGATAAATCGAAATGGAATCGAGATCGCGATTCGACAGAAGCTGCGATTGTCATGCGTATCTTTCAGTGAAGCACGGTTCTGTGATCAGCAGTAAATCTCCATCCAAAGGCCAGAGGGCGCTCTCGCGCTGAAACTCCAAATACGCCTCGCAGAAGAAACACAGAAAATGCCTATCGCTGCAGCTGAATAAACAGAAGATTCAACAGCTTTCATTAATTCAACGTGACTAATAAACACACGACTACGGCAATATACAGTTTATCTGAGTTATTATAATTTTCATTAAAATAAAGTATATTTATAATGCAATGCCTTTATCACTGCTTAAATACATAGTTCACCCAAAAATGAAAATTTGATGTTTATCTGCTTACCCCCAGGGCATCCAACTGCTCCATCTGAAAGCACGTGATGATGATTTCCTGCTGATTACAGAACCGGTATTACTATCAAAATGCGCATGACAATCGCATTCGATTAATCGTGCAGCCCTAGTAGGATTTTTATTAAAAATGGTCTTTGATCTTTCAAGCTGTTTAAAGTGAAAAAAGTGATGTGACATGTGGCCAAGTATGGTGACCCATACTTGGAATTAGTGTTCTGCATTTAACCCATCCAAAGTGCACACACACAGCAGTGAACACACACCCGGAGCAGTGGGCAGCCATTTATGCTGCGGCGCCCGGGGAGCAGTTGGGGGTTCGGTGCCTTGCTCAAGGGCACCTCAGTCATGGTATTGAAGGTGGGAGAGAGCGCACGTACATTCCAGTCAAATAAAATGCGATTTTTATTTAACTTCTTTTGGACTGATGCATGCAACACCCGCTGAGTGGCATTAAACAGCTTGAAAGATCAAAGACCATTTTTAATATAACTCCGACTGGATTCATCTGAAAGAAGAAAGTCATATACACCTAGGGTGACTTGAAGGCGAGTAATTTATGGGCTAATTTTCATTTTTGGGTGAACTAACCCTTTAATGCATTAACCAATATTAATTAATAGAACCTTATTGTAAAGTTTTACTGTTTGCTTTTTTATAATTTTTATATCTTTGTATTTTATAATAAGTTAACTAAATTAAAATGAGAACTGTTGCTTTGGCAACTAGCTGAAATAAAATAAGCTTTCATTATTTATATTTTAGTTTAATTTAGTTAATGTTTATTTTATTTCAAGTAACATATTTTTTCTGGTTTTAGTTTACTATAATAACCCTGTTTTCCTGTTGTTGTTGTATTTTTTTGTATTTAGTGTAAATTTAAGTGTAAATCTTTCACTTTAATCAAGATTCATCCATTTCGTTTTTTGAGTCTACCCTGATTAAATGATAAATGACATAATCTGATATCTAATTAAAAAGACTTTGCTCAATTAAATAACTTAAATGTGGTTGGAAACTTTTTCTTAGTAGCTTGACTTTAGTTTAACTACTTTAAATCTTGAGTAGCTCTGAGTATGTATCTGTTGTATCTTAGCGGTTTTTATTTCCAAAGAGCAGCTTGCTAAGTTCCTGTAAAAGACCAAGATGTCTGACGAAGAACTCAAGCAGCAGGACTAAAGGTCCAGAGCAGAGAGAGATGCGGCAGAAACAGAGAGGAAAATGGAGAGAGAAAGAGAAAACAGAAAGCACAGCCCGGAGAATAAGATGAACAGAGAGAGGACAGAAGGAGGGAGTGACCTACTTTAAGGCTTTGTAGAAGAAGCTCTCTGGCAGTTCCTGCAACTTGTTGTGCTGCAGGTCGAGTGTTTCCAGTGGGATGTGGTCGAGCAGGTCAGCCAGTCTCTCCAGCCTGTTGTTACCAGCCAGCAGTTTACGCAGACTCAGACTGCTAAGAAATCTGAAAGAAGGCGGGATAGAGAAAGAAACAGACTTCAAAAGAAAAAGCACTGTTTTTGGTTTCATGCTTAAGACATAGTTTTAAAGTTTTAAATGAGGGAAGAAACTCAAAAGCAAACAAACTATCAATGCCTAGACACCTTTACAGGGATCATTCATCAAATAATGAAAATCCTAGTATTATTTACTCATCCTCATGTCAATCAAAACCCATTTACTATTATTATAGGTTTTGAGGGTGAAAAAAGTCTGATATAAAAAAAAAAAAATCCCAATTGCGATTTCAAATGCAATTTTTAAAACTAACTAAAAAAAAAATAAATAAATAAATAAAGCAAGCTCCAGGTTTGTTGTGCTTGTTTGTAGTGATGAAAAAATGCTGCAAAAATGTTGTGATTATATATATATATATGACTATTAAAAATAAATAAATAAATAATAATAGTACTGTAAATAATACTGTAATACTGTAAATAATAATACATTTTAAATATAATAATATATGAATATAACTGCAAATAATAATAATTATTATTACTAAATTAAAATATCAAACAAAATAATTTAAGCTGCAACAGGATTTTCAGTAAATAATCATTATTATTTTATTTTTTTCACTGTAAAATAAAAAGAGCATTTAAGAAAAATAATAACATTTTATTTTACAGTGCAATTGTAAAATTACAATATTTCTATTTATGGCTGCAACTGAAGATTTTTTTCAGTAAATAACAAGTTTTCATTTTCATTACTATTTTAATGTTTTACTGTCAAATAAAAATGAGTATTTAAGAAAAATAATTTAATGATATAATTACATCACAATGAAACAAGCGATGCATATATTTATTTAATTAAATCCCACTAAGCCATATCACAATTTCAGTTTTATTTTGATTAATCATGCAGCCCTAATATACAAACAACCCGATTTCAAGCCTTCTGAAGCCAAACAATAGTTTTGTGTGAGGAAAAGACACACATTTAAGTGGCATTTCACTCAAATATGATTTAAAATATTATTTACACCTTTTTATTTATATAATAAAATATTATTGAATATAATCTAAAATATTATTTAAACCGGAATTTTAAAAAGAATAAAAAATTAGCATTAGTCATTGATTCTTGTATTTGTTGTAACCAAAAACAAGCACACAAGACTGACTATGCTATGAAGAATGGCATGTGAGAGCGGCAAGTGAAGATTTTCAGTGAATAACATTTCGGTTTTCATGTCATTTTTTTTTTTTTTTTTGACTGACGTGGTCAATAATGTAGCTGCATGAAGACTCTTCAAAAAATTCTCTTCTCATGGAAAATATAACAGCATTATGGGTTTGGAAGGACATGAGGTTGACTAAATAAAGACAGAAAGAATTCTCATTTTTGGCGAACCATTCCTTTAAAACACCAACACAGCATTTTCATGCAGCACTCACAGTCTCAAATGGGACACAAACTTCAAGCCGCATATTATCTCATTTGTGCACGGCTTTTAGCTCTTTCAGATGCAAATGACTGAATGTTAATGTGGAATTAGCTGGAAATGGTGCTTTCATCTGCTTGGCGTTTACATCACTTTGCTTTGAGACAGCAGAGTGGCCTCATCAAGAGTCTGCTGATGAACGCCGGCCCGTTTCTATTCAGATCCACCGTCTGGCCAGACAGTCGCTTTAACCCACATCATTCAAATCAAATGGGCAATTTTTGTTGAATAAATAAGTACAAAATGCTGACATTAAGATTCTGGAATGGGGAATCAGGAGGAGAGTTTCTTTTTAGAAACTGAGGAAGATGCAAAAGCAGTCTACACACACACACACACACACACCTGGCCGGGAGCTCAGACAGCAGATTATGGGAGATGTCCAGCACCTCAATCTTCCTGCTGTCACACACCCAGTCTGGCAGGTATTCCAGGAGATTCCTGCAGGAGGGATGGGAATTAACTCCAGGCTAATTACATCAGAGCATTAGCATTATACAGGAGTGCGCAGGGTAAAGGACATGACTGGAGCGAGCTGAGCCTCTTGTAAATGAGCCGAGCAACATTTGGTCACATTTGCATTACAATGTGCATGTTATAGTGCAAGTACACTACTAAGTACTAGGGCTGCCCAAAATTTCAAATAAAAATCCACATTAGAATGCAAAAATGTTGCATTTGAATTTTAGGTGTGTGGTAAAGAGGCAGCCTTATCAGTGGCGCACAAGATGCGATGACGATGTAAGTGTCGTTGCATTATAATGTTTTTGTTAGCCTTATCCAGTTGAAGCCACTAGATGCGGCGCTGCTGCGTTGTTCATTAAAAATATTGCGGAAAAAGAGAACATCAATGCGGAGAAG